TAATTTGGAATTTATTATAGGTCAATTTTTTGTTTAATACCATAGATATGTATATAATATGCCTTATACATAGACTGACATACCATCACCGCTCAGAATCGTTTTTCTTATACAATAATATTATATCATTGAATTCAAATTTAATACCATCCATTATACAGTGACCCACTTGTAACCTACTGTACAGCAGAGCGACACCCACTTGCCCACCTTTTTTGATGTTGTATTCTAAGAATTAAAGGCCCATATTGATAAGATATCAAATCGTGATTTCAATATTTTCAAATATTAACCAATTAACTTTAGTAAATTGTAAAAATTTCCCAAGTATAATGAATAATAGTTTCTATATTACATATATTTTATTTTTTATTTAAATTTATTAAATTTATTTATTTAATATTTTATTTTTTATTTTTTTTATATTTTATTTTTGTAAGACCATTTTCAAGGACCACCTATACTATATATTTAGAACAAACATTTTAATGCCTAAGAAACTAGGTCATCAGTCGAATTTTGAATTAGGGGTGTCAAAATGTTCAAAAAAAATATATTTGCTAAAATGTATAGTAATCGGTGAGGGGGGGGGGGTTCTCATTTAAAAACAGCTGAAGTTTGTATCGCTACTCGACACTCCTCGAGTAGTACGAGAAATCTCGAGGATTTCAATAACTGTGTTTTGCGTGCTTGGTGAATCACTCTGTATATAATATTATTATTATTTTAATTCAAGCATTTTCTTAAAGCAACATCGAAAAAGTAATATCTTAAAAATAGTCTTCGTACCCGAATCTGAAGTTACGCATGTATATAGTTGAGGGATCATTAGGACACGTTTGATCGTTTTGATAGTCGAGGAGTTCCAATTACAGGGCAATTGATACTACGGCGCGTAGGTGGATATTTTTTGGAATATTTCCAATGTTTTCGATTACGTAAATTCTTCTTTTCTACAAGAGACTGTACCTACGCGGTAATAATACACTTCGAGATCGACGCAGAATGCTTCGAATAAAACACTAAAAATATAACTGGATACCTAAGTGACAAACGCAGAATAAATCGAACTCGTGTACATAATACAGACGGTAGGGTGCTTCGCATCAAGAAGAAAAATTAACAAAAAAAAAAGTAATATTTTACATTTTACCGAAAAACCAATAAGAATAAGTGATTTAAGTGCGTAGGTAATCTCCTTTTCATAGATTTCAGATACCAAAAAAAAAAATGAAAGATTTTAATTGATAGATTTAAATTATTCAATTTTTCATAGAAATCGGTAGGTACAAACAAATATTTCACGGTATGGCTGGTATGAAACTTGTACTTCAACTAATCGTGCTTACGACGACAGTGTTTTAATTGGTGAAATGGGTGTGTGATAATCAATTGTAATTACTTAATTTTTTAGTTTTCTGTATATTATTATTTATTTCTAAATACTTTGTTTAATTGATTTCTGTAGAACAAAGTTATTAAAATGACGAACATCAAATCCTCGCGGAGGCCTCCGATTAATTCTAAATGGTTCTCAAAGTGTAATATATTTATTGAGGAAGAAATATATTTGGTGGAGACGAACCCTTTTTTTTTTTGCAAACGAATAACTCCCCTACACGCTATATAATACGACAGTACAAGACATAAAATGATATGAAAAAAATGTTTATGTACTTACCTGCCTAATGATACATCGTTTTTGTAAAAGAAAAATTAAGTACACCGACAGGTTGTTGGTTAATACAAATTTGGTATAAAATGCTGCCGAGGCCACTAGAAATAATTTTTCCAATGCCGTGGTATAGATTTTTTGTTCGACCCCATACACGCATTATAAGTACCAACAATAGTTTGTATTTTTTATACTTTTTATCAAATGGTAACTTCTAAGCAGAACTTATTAATATTCTGAAGCGTATATACTAGTAGTCTGAAAATATTCAAAAACTAAAGAAAATTAGCTTGTTATATATCTTATAAGCCGATAAGTATTTTAAGTTCAAACAAGAAAAACGATTCCTCACAGCTCAAAGTTAGGTCGTGGACGGTTACTTAATATATTATTAACGGACGTGGAAAAAATAATTTATGAAATCAATACAAATTAATAAGTGGGTACTTGAAAATAATTTATGGCTGTTAATCGTTATTATTGTATCTATTATATTGTGTAAACAATAGTTATAATTATATATACAAAAAATAACGCACTATGCTATTATTATGTGCCTACAACAGACATCGTGACGTTCAGACAATGATTATTAATTTTTTTTTTTAGTTAAGACATTAGCACTTATAATAATAATTGTGTTCACTGAGATTCCATTACTCGAAATTGTAAACAACACACAGGTACGTATTTTAAATTGTTTTTTTTTTCGTTATCTTATCACGTAAGTAAACAATCATCAAAACCGTATGATAATATCATACGAATTCGGTGGGGTTCGTGTTCGTAATTTGAAAATGAAAATGTTCAACAAGGGACCATAATATATAGGTTAGGTCTATTATAAGTCGTTTATTTATTACCTGCCTACTCATCAAACATTCTGTTTCAACAACAAAGCCCGTTGGCCGCATAAAAAAGTAGAAACGGTGTTTGCTTAAAATATTTGTTTTTGTCGTTAATCAAATATGAATCTACGTAGGTAGGTAGGTACCTAAAGGTCGACAGGTCAAGCGTAAATTCGGAAGTCGTCTATAGAATCACAGTCACTATAGGTGATTTGAAATAATTTTAATTATTAAAAGTTGTTTGCTTCTGCTCGTTCAGTTCACTGCGGCGTAGTACAGGGGAGGTTGAATCGTGTACACGAAAAAGACCTTTGGGAATACGTCGTGGCGCTCTTCCAAATATTTATCCTTAACGTAGAACGAGATCCGTCGTGCCAAAAGGACCTTTCTTTACTATCATCAGATAAATTAAAACGGGTATACAATTCTTTAAGAGTTAATATTCGAGCGTGCCACCACCACCACTTGGAAATGTTGCGGTAGGTATCCAATTTCAGCTCTTTTATCGTGTCCTGAGATTTATTTATTTATTTCGGCATAATATTCAATAACGCGTGTTAACTTCGAGTAAGTTGTAGGTCACGTTTAGTTTGTTTAGCAATGCAATTCTTATACGATTGAAATTATGACATTTGTTATTTAAAATTCAGACTACAATATAATAATATTATAAGTGGACAATAATCGCGTGTTTGAGAAGTCTATAAATAGTTTATCTGACCTTACAAAAAGATTTTAAATTCTCGAATAAATAATTTATTTAATAAATCGTATTGGTAGCTATAATTTGTTATTGAATAAAATTACAAGCTACCAATCATCAATAAACATAGTAGTAGGTAGGTATACTTTGAAACATATTTATTTCACTTTTCTTGTTGTATGAAATTAATCGTTTGAATTAGTTTCATTAGTTTAAACTTTTAAGCGATAAATTATACAATAATAATATCCTCTTTTGTCCGTAACTATATTGTAATAGTATAACAAATACGATTCCTTTCTTTATATTTCCTATCAATGGCGAATGAATTACTAATAATATTCAATAAATTAATAATACATTTTAAAATGTATCAAACAAAGTTTCTTTACATTAGATCGAAAATGAATGGTTTGATATGCAAATACCTATTCGCTAAAATCAATAAAGGGTCACTTTTAGTTTATTGTCATATTTTGTACATTTATACTTACGCCATATTATTATTAATATCACTATAATATAATATAAGGATTTAAACTCATAACTTAAGCAGTTGAATAATTTATTTCATACAATACCCATATATAACTAGGTAGGTATGGGTAGGCATTTCATTGGCACAAAACTTACCTACTCGGGTATTTCTATTTTATGGATCATTTTTATACCTAATTTATACCTTTATTATATTTAATACGACATTCTTATTAAAATCATTAAGACGAGGGATAGCAATAGTTTATTTTATTTAAAAAAAATTTTACTAATTAAGTTTAAAAGTTAATTTAGAGAAAACAAACTACTTATTCATGAACCACCATATATATAACTATTGGTTCTATTCCGCGTTATTTATATGCTTAGGCTTATGTATTCTACATTAATTTTATCTAAATGGGTTTTCATAGTCTATCACAGTGGTTTTTAACAGGTGTTCCGTGGACTAAAAATAAGTGTTCTACCAAATTTTAAAATCAGAGGGGGGGGAAATTATAAGTTTGTGAAATTTTTTTTATTGTTCTTATTATTTTTAATTGACTAATTTGTAATTTGTATGTAAACTGTTTTATGCTATACCTACATGCGTTGTTTAATATATATATATATATATATAAATGGAGCATGAAAAATTGTCGTTACCTCATCAATGGTCCGATTTGGCTCAAATATTTGTAGGTTAGACCTCTGGGAAGAAGACAGGCTAATTTTAAAATGGTTAAATTTGGTTTTTTTTTATTCATCTGATATTAGTACAGTTAGGTTAGGTTAGGATTTTGTATTAATTGATTATGATCATAATATTATATATATTTATATTAATCCACAATAGGTGTAATACGACAAACTTGGTATAACTTTGATACTTTAGAATTAAATCATACACTTACGTACATACAGCAAGGGGTCCGCGATCTACAGAAGGTAGATTGCCTACCTGATAATATACAGCTGCGAATCAGAATTTTTCATTCCGGGCAACGGAAAAGTTAAGATAAATTTTGAATACCATACACTGAATATTAAATAACGAATTGAATAAAGTTTGAGTCATATAGAGTTGGTACATTTAACGGGCAACGAAGTGCACGGGATCAGCTAGTATATTATACAATTTGAAAACGTACATAAATACATAAACTGTGTCCCTCGAAAATCGTATAAAACATTATGCGTTCCTTCTTTCAAAAAAGCTTAAGAACCACTGGTCTAGCACATAAAAATATTATGATTTTTATTGTATTATTAATTAATTATTATACTATACGACACGTTATATTATGCTGACTAACGATAACGGCATTGATTTTTCCGCAGTCACCATTGCAGTAGCGTCACCGGCCACCAGCGGCTTCCAAGTAATAGTGGCCCTCATAGGATACCTTGGTAACGGTTGCAATATGATGATATACCCATTCATTGCCGAGATGTGCGTGACGTATGCCCTCCATGGAATATCCCCCAGACGATATGTGATTTTCAAGGACGTGTGCTTGTTGCTTCTGGGCTTGTCGTTGTTCGCTGTGCGGTACGTTCGTGCTCGTGGTGCGTATAATTCATGGCGGTGACTGATCATGATGGTTGACATGACGGCCTTACCAAAAAACGAACAGAACGTAAATAATATCTTGGTATGCCGTGATTTCTGCAAACATGGTCGGCGAGTATTTGACGGTCTCCCCATTTTAATATCGATTTTCAATTTTTCCACTTCGATGGACGATGCCCACACTAATGTGCACTTTACATTCAATAATTATCGGTGAAAAATCACGTTCACGGCGGCACATGTCTTTATGATCGTCCCGTAACATATAGGTATGTAAACGAATAAATATATCATTATAATCAATTCAGTAGCGTACGCAGGATTTTAGTTTCGGTTAGAGTTTTACCTGAGTAAATAATTTACATTATTTTTTTCTAAACAGTTTTTATATAATTGATTATAACAAATTATAGTTAGTCTCAAATTTAGTCTACATTTAGAACACCCGAGTGTTCAACCCGGACACCTAGTCATCTATAGAGTCTCTTAGGGTCGTGATAAACATGGTAATAATCGATGGACGATGATACATGATGATACACCAATTGTCGGTTATGGCAGACGTTTAGCAATGTTCTAAACTAACCAAAAAACTGAAACTACGATTATCGACGTCTCTGTCATATTTAACAATTTATTTTATATCTATTAAAAATGACCAACAAATTTGATCAACTCTGTATCGAAATTGTGATAAATAAGATGTTTTTTTGTTAAAGGGAGACTTTTTAGGGTCAGAACCCTAGAACCCTACCCCTGCTTACGCTACTGATAACCAATTTTAATTTACCCTTTTTAAACCATGCCTTGATGACGTATCTCCCACTCAGTCATAATAATTATATCAACTTTATAAACTATACAGAATATATTTTTGTTACCATCAGGTATAGCTGGCATGAATTTCAAAATTGGAATTCCGAATATTGGTACATCTTGCATAATATGTTGGTCCAAATACCCACCCAGGCCGATTGCAATGTACAATTCATATTTGTCATTATAACCATTGACGTGTTCAACAGTTTTTAAACGGCCAGGCGAAATCATTCTAGGTACCTATATAATTAATTTAATATTTTTTTCACAATAAAATATTATTTTAAGGTTTATTAATATGTTTAAGGACGATAATATTATAGATACAAAAAATTATTTTTACGCGTAACGGTGTATGTAACAAACAGTTGATTACATCAAACAAATAAATTGTAAAAATGAAATACAGATATAGTAGGTGTACCAAGGAAATAACAATTAAAAAAATAAATGAAATTCTAATATGTTTTGAATACAATAAGATAAATAATAAGTGTTGCGATAACCATAACAAGCTTTTAAAATAATTACTATTTTTCACTGACATCATGCTATTTACTATAGGATTTACAATACATGACTGATAGCATTATAGCAATGTTGTTGACCTAGGTGTCTGCATGTTTGATCGCACTCTAGTTTTATTAGCACTCTAGGTTTTGAAAATGCTTGGTTTCGTCAAAAGAATTTCATCTGAATTTAGTCAGTATGTGTAGTTTTTTAAAAGCGCTTTACTGTGCTTTTGTTCGTTCCACCTGGAATACGGTGTAGTGATTTGGGACCCTCAGACTATACGTGACTCTTGCCAAATTGAACGTGTCCAGAATAAATTTTTGAAAAATGCATCTTTTGCTCTGCACTAAGAAAATTTACAATCTGTATTAATAAAACACAATAAATATGAAAAAAAAAATGTGATAATATGTACAACAAAACAATATAATATAATAACAGAATGATAGGATATGGGAGGCCATCCAATGATAGAACCCTTCAGATTTGAATTAAACATAATTTATTGATTTTTTTTTTTGATTTTTTTATCATAAAAGATCACGACACCAGCGTCTTTTAAGGCAGCTAGGGGGATTGTCGAGAAGTGTACGTGATGATAGGTAGGAGATAAGAGAATTTTGATGTAGATGTATTTTTTTGTAAAATTTAGTGTAGTATTGTTTAGTTAGTTGTTCAAAAGTTTGAATTTTTAAGTCCTTGTGAAGTGTATTATTTGTTAAGTACCATGGGTCAGATGTTATGAGACGGAAGGATATGGACTGGAATGCTTGGATGGTTATGTGTATTATTAAAATATTAATTATTAATTTTGTGTATTAAAATGTCAAGGGCCTCTCCCGTTTATTATTATAATAAATAAATGACTTCTAAGGTTAGGTGCATACGGAAAACTCAGCTGAGTCATAAAAGTTTCAATACATGATAATAATAACTTATGAGTAAATGTTTGCTAATACACTATAAATTTACCTGAACTATAGGTATGAACAAAAGTATTCCAAAGAATTGAAAGACGTCCGTCAAATTGCCATACATTAGCGTCTCGCTGTCCATGTTCATGTCGGACGTGAATATATTGTAGAAGATTATGCTCAGCAAAGCGGTACACATGATATTGCTGAGGAAGTTCAACGGTGTCAAATAGCTGCCATTTGGCAATAACAAAAAGACCAGGCACAAGACGTCGAAGGTCAGAGAAACATTGAAGTAATTCACCGAAAATCCCGTCTCGGTGAACAATTGGAGTAGCGACGAGTCCGGTTATTTTGGTTTTTCGTAACATTTAAGTGTTACAAAATTGAAACCTCCGCTCTGAGGTCAACGAAAAACACGTCATTGGCCATCACGTATACTGTCTGGTACGTACTGATACGTACTGATGTGCTGCCCTGTGCGTGACCGCACCTTATATGTTTTTTTTTTCATTAAACTGCCAGAAGATGGCTTTCTATATCATAACGATAAAAATAAAGTTGTTGAAAATATCAAAGTTTTTCATATTATATTATAGATATTATATTCGTAAATATCACTCCTGGTGAACTTGTGGAATGGCCCACACTTAGTCTAAGAAACTTATAGGTACTAAGTATGGTTGTGTGCGCTTCAAATGCCTACGCAGCGTCTTGAAAGTAATGCTGTAGAATTGCAGCTCGATTAGTTTATTGAGTTTCAGCTACATTATCTTGTGAAGGAAAATTCGATAATCTCGTCCTAGACGGAGCTGCAGATCATCATACCTGGCAGGTGCATAAAGAAGTCGGCTGTAGCTCATAAGCGCAAAATATGACCCAAACGCAACACAAAAGCCCGAAAAAAATTCAACAATTATTTTAATTAAAACACGTATTTTATTAAAATCATAATGTAGTTATTAATAGGTATTAAGCTTTAGTGATTATAAAATGAATTAAAACATTTGAAATTTAAATTACATAATATTAGTCCTAAAAAGTAATAAGTATAATATTATAATAATAAGTAGTTCAATATTAAATTTGAAATTTGAAGCCCACAGTTTTAAATAGGCCAATCTGAACATTTTTTTTCTATGTAAAAGTTCCATGCTTTATATTAGAGTTGACTTTAGTACCTACCTAGTACTACCTTAGTACTCTACCTTTTGTGGTTTTACGTACATTTAATTGCATTTTTAAGTAAGCTTCTGTCTGGTGTTGTTTAAGCACTTCGATAATATTATAAATACTATTAAATAATGGGCGTGGGTTACAAAATTGATCTTTCAAATTACGGTGATATAATTCTGGACCATCGAAAGTCCTTGCGGTTCGTTCGAAGGCGGTTCAGCCCAAATGTGTGGTGGACATCTGCTGTAATTTTTAATAAAATTTCCTAAAATATAATCAGAAAATTCTGATATCTTAAAATTATTACGACCAATAGGAAATAGTTCATAAAACGCATCAGAAATTTCAGTAGAAGGTACAAAATCCAATCAAAAGAAATACTTGAACCAATTTGAAATATCTGATTCATTTTTGTCGTATTCAATTTTAAGTACCAATTTTCCAATTTCTCTCTATACCAAGTTTGTCCAAGATGAAACCGGCAACATTTAATTTGTGCATTTATAAAAATACACAAAACTCCATTATGATCAGATAATTAAAAATCCATAAGTATATTTTGTGGTTTTAATTCTTTAATACATAATTTATTTATTAAATGCAACAGTAACATTTTGGCATAAACATTAATTGTTTTAGATAGCAACTTATAACTTAAAAACGTACATAAGTAAATCATGTAGAACATGAATTGTATAAAGTTGCTTAAAATAAGCGGGACGAACATAAAATGTACCATCGCCTTAAATAGTATAACACAGTTTTTTTATAGTTATTTTATGTTAAAATTTGGAGGAAATTACATGTTAAATAAGTAATAACCAAAAATCACGATTTTAGTTATTTTGTTGTAATTTATTGATATTAATTCAACTTCCTTAACAATAATATATTGAAAAAAAGGTAAGGTATTGAATTAAAATTTAATACTATCCACATATTACCCACTTGTAACCTACTGACTACTGTACATCAGAGTGATATCTACTTACTCACCTTTTAGATTCTGAGTGAAACGATGAATGTATTGATTTTACAATGATGTGTGTTTTTTTTTGTGTCTGTCATCACGTTTTAGGACAGTAAAAGTAAAAATGCTTAGATTTTCTTCAACAGTATGTTTTCTGATAGGAAAGTGAATCTAGTTGGTACTTGGGGGTGTCAAAAGTAAAAATTTCCCAGTAGTTTTCAAAGCTCCGTGCAAAACAAAAAAAAAATGAAGGAAAAACGGGAATTTTACACAAAATCTGTTTTCGAAAATATCGATTTTGATTTTTAGTGTAAGTCTTAAACAAATTACCGTACCTATACATGAAATGTTGACTGAATGTTTATATGTTGTATTTTCTATACACCATAATATTTTCTAATTATTTTGACTTATTTTGAGCTGTTAACGGACATTTTCAGTTTCTATTTTTTTTAGTTTTTTTTTCTATAAACATCAATACAATTTTATCTGTTGGGTCAAAAGTGTAAAGATTTAATACAAGGCTCCTGACATATTGTTATCATATATTGTTATTAATATCAGTTGAAAAATGTTAAAAATACATAGGCACAATGTTTTTTATAAGCATTTAAAGATCGAATTTTGACAAAATTTATCAAATTTAA